CCTATTATCTGCAAGTCTACTTAGAGGTAGGTGTACATTCTAGGGAAGTCTTCTTCATACATGTGCTCAAGGAGACATGAATGAATATAAAGGATATTCATTAAACATTGTTTGAAATACTGGAAAACTAAAAACAACCCTTCATAGAATGAATTGTAGTTAGTGGTTAGCAAAAAAGAAGAGATAAAATACATGAGAAAGGCTCTGCTCCACCAATTACTTATAAGATTTAGGAAAGGTAATAAACCAAAAAAGGTACTGGTTTATTTAACAATAAGACACAGTGAAAAGAGCACTGAATTTAGAACACAGAGACAAAGCATTTTAGCATTTAGGTAGTTCCAACTCTGCCACTAAGTAGCAGTCAAACTATGGGCTACTTAACTTCAACAAGACTGCTTTCTTCTTCCTGGAAAACAAAGAGGTTAGACTACATAACCACTAAGATTACTTCTAACTTACTGATTCTATGATTCAATAAATTTATAACTCAAAATTGTATTCTACAGCAGCACGTGTCAAGATACTATTTTTTCCCCAACACCCTGAAATCAGAAAATACCAGAGAAATAGGACATCTCAGTATACTGATACATAAAATAGACCAAATTTCTTAGTATCCCTGTGGTAAGATTTGTAATCAAGATCATAATTGAAGAAGATAATATAAACAGCTAAACCCACTGAACCGAATGGAGTCACCCTCAGGTACAACATGTCCTCTCCCATTTTAACATTCCAAAACAAGTTAATATTGTTCATGAGTGCACCTTTATTTTACTAACCAAAAGTCAATGAAGTACAGAGTAAAATTTGCTTGATTTTTTAAAACAAAGATAAAATAATGAATCGTTTTTCATATTTTTCCCTGTTTTGTCCATAAAACTCTTGCATTATAATTTAAATAGTTTAAAGAGCCTTTTAAAACTTTTAATAGTGGCTCAGTGCCTGTGGCTCACGTGGCTAAGGCACCAGCCACATACACCCAAGGTGATGGGTTCGAATCCAGCCCAGGCCTGCCAAACTGCAACCAAAAAATACCCAGGCATTGGGGCAGATGCCTGTGGTCCCAGCTACTTG